AAATAAATAAATAAATAAATAAATAAATAAATAAATAAATAAATAAATAAATAAATAAATAAATAAATAAATAAAAGAAAGAAAGAAAGAAAAAGAACGCTTTAGTACAGTATTTCGCAGTGCTAATTTATGTACGATGGTATAGGGGGTATTTATACAGTTACAAAACTGCAAGAAACAACGAAAATATGCTGTTTCTGTGTTTTTTGGTTGTTCTATGTAAAAAAAGGTCTCACGCATCTATCATCTAAATTCTCTTTCTTGTCACACGAGTTTTCACATAATGCACATTCTATTTCCGCTTTGGCGCGAATGAGGAAAGCCGGCCATTTTGAGTGACCTTGTCGGTTGTTTTTACGTGGGCTTGGTGGTTATAGTTTTTGAAATTGACATTGATTTGTAAATGTATGTTTAAAATGACAACATGGAATTTGACATATTCTGTGTATTCCTATATTTTGTGCACAGTCTTGTCGGCAAGACCAAATTACTCGCAAAGAAATAGTACCAGGACTGACCCAGCAATAGACACGTAAACTGCATTGTGATTGGCTGTTGAGTTTCATAGGTAATGCTATTCGTACAAAATTTGGCCAATAGGAGACCTGAATGCGCTACGTATTCAGTACAACTATTCCGTTGAGGAAGAATACAATGTGACAGTACTTGTATTCATACACTATAGTGCACATGTGTGCAGGCAGGGGTTGAACCATAGAGAACCGTCCGATAAGACGAGGAAATTTTGGGAAACTGGGGGCTGACTGGGAATTGGTGAGTTATTCTACAACTGTGAACAAAAACATTTGAACGTCTTCACCATGGATCTCGTAGCAATTCTAGAAGCAACAGTGTCGCCAGGTAAGATCTTCAATTTTATTTTCGAATTGCCGGTACAGACGGTACACATGTGACGTACTTTTCAGTGAAATAAATCTTTCGCTAGCATCGACTGTTTATTCTCGCCTAAATTGTTATTTTCTTTTCAACAGACAAGACAGCGCTTGAAAATGCGCTCAAAGCACTGGAAGGTGCTGCCCAATCAAACCTGGTAAGTTATTAAAATTACTCGTTTTTGTCAGTATTGCTAGCGACCAAAAAAGCTGAAATTCAAAGATGGCCTCCGTCGTGACCCCGATTGACATGTTGTCCTGAGATGACCGGTCACAAACCGACTTAAACTTATATTATCACGACAAAATAAAACATCTATTCTGCCTTCGCCGATTATCTATTTAGTATTAGTTTCATTTTCTATTTTAAGGCCGGATTGATTTTCATTCGTCCGGATTTGTCTCTGACGATAATCGTGACAAGGATATCAACTCGCTGTTATGATTAGATCATGCCGCCCTTGTAACAGGCTATAATTACATAATTATCTAAAATACGTAACCAGAGTTGGGTTTTTCTTAGCTCAGTGCTTGCTCGCGATCTATTAGAAAATAACCGTTGTTTTCGCTTTATTTCGTCCTGACTATGTTTGCATTTTTTTAAAAAAAATGTTACCAACTCTGCTTCTCCACACAGGCAGAGTTTTTGATGGCGCTATCCACAGTACTGGCCGATGCAGGAAAAAGCCAAGTTGCCAGAATGGCAGCTGGTCTGCAGGTGAAAAATGCTTTGACATCCAAAGATCCCCTCATTAAAGTTCAACACCAACAAAGATGGTTGACTCTGGATGGAGAACTGCGAAAAAACATCAAGGGCCTGGTAAGCAATTTTATTTCTTTACAACAATGCTTGTTGATGTAAATAAAATATTCCGTTTTTGCAATCAGAAACAGATATTACCTTTGTTGTGATTTAGTAAGTTGATTGTATAGATGTACTTTGTAAACAAAAAATCTAAAATTAAACTATGATGTAAGGCTTATCACACATGTTGACATGGCTGTTTATTATTGTCACAAGTGATCATCATGGCTGTATGAAGGTTTGCAGAATTGTTTTGGGGTTTGCGTACTATGAAGCCAACTCTTTGAATGTTTGTCAAAACTAGCAGATTTTGGAATGCATAGTTATTATGTAGCAAACAATGCCTGGTGTGCTTGCGAATATTTTGATTTACTGAAAAGTAACGTAGTAATCATAGAACGTCAAATCGTATGAACTGCGCAAGTTATTAGTTAACACGCGAGTTGCACGGGTTCATATTTATTTTATCCTTTGTTTATATTTAGCTGAAAGCTTTTCAGGCATGTGATTCAATGCTCAAATCCTAACTTAAATTGAATATAAAAATTAGTATCTAGCTTTATAAAAAATTGAAACAAAAAAATTTTCAAAGAATTAGTAATTTCTCTTAATTGGTGAAAAAAAAAAGTTGTTGATGTCTTACAACAAATTTGGCAAGATCAACAGGTTCTAGTGTTCAACCTTGCCTGGTTGATCCATCAAGTTGCCATAATGTCTTTGTGCCCTGTCATCACATCTACAATGATTCCTGTGACATGATGCACTTTTTTTGTTACAAATATTTTTGTACCAGGGGACAATTCCAGAAATTTAAACCACTGCTGTTGTTTTTTAGTCTAGTGTGCTAATTGTAAGTGCACGTGTACGAACTGGTTTTCCAAACTTAATACTTAAAGGGAGGTAGTCATCGCGCCACGCATGTGCGAGATATATGGGTCTCGTATAAATAAAGAATGCGACTTTAACTGTTGCGCAGATTAACGAGTACAAACTGAGACGCTACCAAGCTTTAATTAGGTACTTTTTACGTGATTGGAAGGTATCGAAGGAGTCATTCGCGGTAATCAGGGCAGGTCGTGCCCAGGTCAAACCCCCATCTTGTGATTTTCATTAGAAAAGCGCATTGGATTGTGGGAAAATTAAGGTTTATCAACACAAATGTCACACTACCGCCCTTTAATAATATTTGGAAGACGAGGCAGACTGTACTGATTTATACCCATTTATTAAAGAATCAGCCAAGATCCTCCAGACATTTTGGTTTGCACTTTTTAATAAAAAAAAAGTATAGAAAGTCAATAGCCATTGTCTGGGCTACGAATATTATAACCAAATTATGTTGGAAAAAGTTTGAGATTGAAGTGATTAGTATTGAAATGATTATGGTCATTGCTGTATTTTTCAAAAGCCAGTTCTTTCCCCCTTTGTGATTATCAATGTAAATGATCAGGATTTTTCAATCTATAGCAGAGAGGTTAAGACTCAGAATGTCAATTGACATTTTTAGTTGTCCAGAACCTGGCATGCCCATGTCAAATACAGGTGGTTGAATAAAAGCCTACAAGAATCTGTGTTGAAACTTGCACACCATTTTTAGAAATCTATTCAACTAGTCTTGTCCTTGTTATCAGGGCTCTACGTTAACTTTTAAACTTAATTTCCTGCATATTTACTATATTCTGGTAAGGCTAGCGAGTTATAGTTTAGTAGTCAGACATTTTATTTTTTCTGTTTTGTCTTTGTTTTTGATATACAATACCCATAATCATTCTTTTAGAATATTTTTGACACTCTCAAACTCCTTTCTAATACCAGGGTTGTTCGTGTCTATTTCACTTGTCCTGGGCGGTGGGACTACCTTAAGCGCAAGCCCTGTTTACATATGATACTTTGCATCCTTCTAGGTTCTACAAACCTTAGGAACAGAGATCCAGAGACCAAGTTCAGCTGCACAGGTATAGTGTTCATTCATATTGCTTAATTCATTGTTTCATTTCTGTGGGGTGTGGTTAGCATGTATGGCAAAAGGAAAGCCATTCAAAAATTTTTTTGCCGTCCAATAGAATTTCTGTGATACTTGAAATTTAAAGCTTAGAAACTGAACGTTTTGTGAATTATTTTAGTGATTTGTCTCATCAATGTAATATTGCTTATCAACTTTTGTAATGTCACTCTTTTACGTATTTGTCATAATTTGTTGCTGCACATGTAGTGGACTGTTTTATTTAAAACAGAGGGATAGCCACCTGTTCTAAGCAAACAACTCATGCTATAAATGCAAAGGCTCATGGGTGGACAATTGTTTGTAAACAACATGCTATGGCCATCTGTGCAGATGACAACTCCCTCGCTTTAAAATAAAACAATGTTAGCCACTGAGTGAAATCAGGATTGTGCTTTTGCTGTCAAGAATTCACCATTTGAATAGCACTCAACTTTTGTCACCTCGGGGAATAAATATTATAACTTAGATCAAATCCTATGAGATTAGTCACTCAAAATTAATGAAAAAGTTATGGAAAAATACATAAAACTGCAAAAAAAAAATTTATTAGAAAAAATTGTGGCACTTGAAAGGTTAAACTGAAAATTAGCTTTATTTTGTTAAATGAAAAATTGGAAAAATATTTTAAAAAAACAAATGGTAATTGTATACGCAGACTGAAATAGTTTATTTTGTTGATTTATGCAAACATGTACACAGTTTTGTGTAAATTTAAACGGAAACTATATTCCAGTAGCTTTTCTCGTCCTTGTTCATGCCATATCATAACATGTTTTTAGCACTCACAAATTCTGCAGTGTCAGCTGTGAGGTTTGTTTACGACAGAGATTTGTATTCTTCCTGCCTGCTTCCCTCTACAGCTTAATCTATTGTAAAATCTGATAAATGTATGTCATAGTACTGTAAATAGCTAGAATTAATTTTCGCTTAATATACTTTTTGGGCGTTTTGTTTGGAATTAATTTTCACTGATTCTTGATGAGTTGAATGTAAAATGTAAAAAAAAAAAGTATACTTGATGGATTTTATTTTCACTGAATCATTTCTTCAGCAAAAATAACGAAAATCAATTCCAAGCAAAAAATAAGTATTCTACAGTACATTACACTACCATATGCCGATGCACTGTGACAGCATTTTGTTTGTTTTACCAACCGGCATGTGATGTCTGACAAAAATGTCATGCATCTATTCACACTAGCTTGCGATCAACTAATAACATTGAGCATCATTATTGATTTTCTGCATTTCAGTGTGTTGCTTGTATCGCGTGTGCCGAATTACCGAACCAACATGGGACGATTTGATTCCAGATT